CAGGAAGATGAAGGGGAAGCAGAAGGTTTGACCTTGACCATGGCACTGCTGTTTGTTCTCAGCTTCGTGCCTGAGTGGCTGCAAGTCATTGGCCCTGGCCATACCCACCAGATATTAGGCTCTGCATGAAAGCAGGACAAACCCACCATCCCTCCTCTACAAGGAGCTTAGCATGCCCAGGAGAGTTTGTTCCATGGGAGGGTTGCCTGGGATCAAGGGCAAGGATGATGTCCAGGCAGGTTCTTCAAAGACAAGAGCCAGGATGTCCAGAGCACCCAGCCCCTGAGCCCATGATTGGGATCTCAGTCGGTTCAACTGTACGGGATGCTCTGCGCCGTGGGGTAAATGTCTCCAAGTGCCATTAGAGATGTAGCTGCTCACCTCTCCATTATTTGCAGGAATCACCTAACCAAATCTCCATGCCTCCACCAGGAGAATGCAACCCCACGTTGTCCTCTGGCTCTTCACGTGCCAGACAAATGGTGGGGGCTCTGGGAGGACTTGTCTCACTTGGGGGGGGCGGGTTATGAGCAGGGCTGACGGGATGGAGCAACTGTGTTTTAGACCACAGCTGTCCACGTGTCTGGAGTTATTTTCCCCAGCCTTGTGCCTTCCAGCCCCTTTCCTTGGGAGCAAACGACGTAGCAAAAACTTGTAGGAATCCCGTATTTCTGAGCACGTAGGCTGGTAATCACCAAGACAGCTGAAGCTTTAGATTTGTTTGCATAGGCTCCTCTGACAGAGCAGGCATTTGTCAGATCTAAATTCTGTTGGAAGGTATCTCATTTAGTTAATTAAATAAAAAAATCGGTGGAGAAACAGTAGCAGAAGCAATACCATCCTATTTCCAGCTTGGCAACGCTGACCCTTGGTTTCCCCTTGGCTTTTAATGCTTCTGCAGTTTCTTTGTGACTCTGAATGTCTTGTTAGCTTCCACGTTGACCAATGGCCAAATCTCCGGTCCCGCTGAAGTCAGGGAGAGTTTGAGCTGAATCAGAATTTGGCCTTAGAAGTGAAAATAGTTATTTAACGTTAAACGGAGTCAACAGGTAAGAGACCGTTTTGCTGTCTAGATACTTTGTCCTGTGGCTGAAGTGGGGCTCCCCACAAGGCTCCATGTCCTTCCAGCAAAGGATGAGCAGAGAGGGACAGAAGAAGGTTTTCCCAATAGCTGCGGCATGTCTCTGGGGTGAATTCTGCCTCTTCTCGGGGATGTTGCTGTGTGACTCAAGCTTCAGGTGTTCCTCCCTTCAGCATCGCAAACCGAAAAGCCTGGGTTGAGAAGTGCCTTTGGGTTCCTACATGGTCTGGTTCCCTAAGCTTGGCAGGTCACCCCAAGCGGCCATCTTGGCGCCTACAGTCCTGCCCTTGAGCACGCGTGAGGTTGTTTCCATCAATTCCACCTACAGCATTGGCATGTGATGGGGTGCCCTTGTCCCCATCTTGCCCCTTCTTGGGGCTCTCTATGTCCCCAGCACCTTGGTCACACCTGAGAGCAACAAAGGGTCATCCCAACCTCCTGGGCTTTGCGATGCTGTGCAGTCAAAAAAGTTTTAAGATCTGGGCCCCGTTCTCCCTGCTTTGGCTCTTTTTCTTGGCAGAGTCTTATTTCTTCTTGGCTTTTCTTCTGTACTGGGGTGTTGGGAAGATAAAAGCACACAATGAGTCTTTGCCTGAATGCTGGATGATCGTCTAGACCCCTGCCTGCTGCCAAGTCACGGACGTTGCTTCTTGTTTGCCATTCTCTTCCCTTTGCCTTTTATTTTTTTGCAATTTTTTTCCCCCCTAACTTGTTCTAGCTCTGGTGTTTTCCATCCTGTGGTCAATGACTGCAGAGCTTCGGTTTGTGTTTGCTTTGCCCCTTGCCATGGGGATATTGCCTTTTAACTGTCCTGTGCTCTCCCTGTCCTATTGCAAAAGCCCTAAACCAAAAAATCTTGCACATTCCACATTGGCTTAAGTGTTAGGGTTTTTTTTTAATCTTAACCCCTTTTTTTTTTTTTTTCTTTCTTCGCAGCTCTTAAATAGAAATGGTTTGGTTTATAATATCATTATGTCTTTAGGAAAAAAAAATGTCCCTGTTTGCATTTCTTGCAGGAATTTACAGCAGACGTTGGTTCCCAGCTCATTTCCAGGTGTTTTGCCTTACCTCTGCTTAAATTAAAGCTGTGTCTGTGTGCAACTTTTATAATTTCAGTGCAATATTTTCAACTCACATGCAGTAGCAGCCCATCTGGCTAATAAATCTAAATAAAGTGCACCCAAACAGTTGAACTCAGACGTTTGAGACAAGAGAAGAGCAAACCCACAGAAAGCAAAAGCTCAATTGTATCAGCAAAACTCTTGCACACTTAAGTATGTGGGAGCTTAGTACTAGATAAGAGTTCTAACTAACTTTTATTTTGACATTCTCCTTTTAATAAGTGTTGCTTCTTACAAAGCGGTTTATGTGATTGCGTTACTGAGAGGAAACAAAGAAATGCCAGGAAAACTTGATGTGGAGAATCTGTACTCATAAAATGCTTGTAAGCTCCAGCAAACAGGAAAGCTTACCCCATCTCCTTTTTTTT